ATTAATAATTATTATTGATTAATAATTAATATTATTAATTATCACTTAAGATTCTGTCAAGCGCGGAGTGACCCTACGTCTACTTTTTGAGAGGAACGTTCCGCTGTTTTTGTGAGATTTCCGTCGGAGTACTCGGAGAGATTTGTTTTTATTGAGACGTTCCAAGTGCCTGTGTTCTCACGCGCGTCGTTTCGTGTGTCGCCAGCTTCCATGTGTGCGTGACGCAGTCGTGGACGCGACCGGGGGTCGTCGACCTTTTCCTCACCGATGTGCGCGCGTGCGTGACGGAGATCATGAAGGACCCGAGCAAGCCCTCGGACGGCAAGGTACCGTAACCTTAGCAGCGGTTGTTAATGCGTACACGCTTCAGGCCTCGACGCTTATTTTCAGATCCGGTTGTCCTGTCGGGGCAACAAGAAGCAATTTTTACTTCGGTTTTACTTGTCCAAAATTTACTCCAAAAATTCGTTCAATGTTTTCGTCCAAAATTCGTAAGAAATGTCGTGCGATAGCGGCCTGGCTCAAAGGATGTTAGGAATTTTACACAACCGGAAATTTTTTAGTTGACCGATCGGGCAACTAGCCAAGCGAGTAACTTGTCCGACATAGACTTTCACTTGTCCCAGGCAATCGGACAACCGTTAGTGACGATATCGAGGGTTAATTGTGCTTATACTCGGGGAAGACATTGATGGACGACACACATGTTGTCTCGTGGTTCTGTTTTGTCTCTATTCGTGGCCAGCTCGGCATAATCTCCCCTGCACCACGTGCATATACCATGTAAACGTTGATGATGCCACATGTGCACCCTTCCCCCAGGTATTAGCCAGGAATGAGTATTGTGGGAGTGCAGAAAACATATTTGGGAGTGCAATTTTGTTGTATGCGTGTCACAGCCAAGGCTTTAGATCAATATTTTAGGCCGTGCTACACATTTGTGGCCGGGCAGTTTCAAAAACTGAGCGGCAATCACGGCTGGCAGGGCTCAGCTGGCTAATTACGCTCGCCCCCCCCACCTCCGCGTGGCATGCAGTGTGCTGCCGAACACCGCTGACCAGGAAGCGTCTGTTCTTGGTCGTGCCACCGCGAGAAAGACTCGCTTGCTGGGCGCATCGATCGCCGGGCTGATTTGATTCGGATTGGGGGAATAAATAGAAATAAATAGGAAAAATAATAAAATAAATAAATAAATGGATTAGAAAAAAAAGGATTAAATATAATAGAAATGAATAATTAAAAAATAATAGAAATAGTCATTATATTTATAATTATTAAATAAATAATAGAAATAAATTGAGGTTTAGATTTCGATGCGATTTCCGCTATCCACGAGACGCTGTAAAACTGCGCTTAACCACCTTTTACCTAATTCATTTTATTCTAAATATTCAAATTTCATTTTATTATAATTGTTATGATTATAATTTATTTTATTCATTAATGCAATTTATTATCTATCCTTGATGAAAAGATACCGTATGTGCCCACTGCATGGAAAATTTTAGATGCCAAATTTGCTATTTGGAATTGCAGAAATGATGATGTTTTTGCCGATAGCATATTTTCCGTAATCGCATATGTAAGCGATGACGAGGGGAGCGATCATCGTCAGGGAAGACGTTGCCTGGTCGTGAACTTGACTCGGGTGGCTCCACCTGTGTTTCCAGGGCGCGCTCTACGGAATGGCGGCCGCAATCCCGGATCGTTCGCTCGTCAAGGAGATATCCGACATTTTCCTCGAGGCATGTTACAGCACTAGGGAGCCAGCGAACTCATAGTGGGTCCAGTCCTGCATGTGCTCACATGCCGAAATTCAGGTGAGCAAATTTAAACGTGGTTGTATCCACAGGCACTTCGACAGGGTGTTAGCCATGCAGGAATAAAAATCAGGGAGTCTCACTATCGGAGCGAAGCGAGGATGCTGCCGGCATGAAGCGCTTACCTTAGAATGGAGGAAATTGAGTCTGAAATGCCAAAAAGACAGGAATCTGATATGATTTTACTATTCTTATAAGCAGCTGTAGTCGTTGTGCAGCCATGGTGTATCAAGAATCTAAAATTGCGGCCGCTCTCACGACCGTCTCTATCACAAATTTATCATCGTTCATCAAGAATGGCCGTCCAAAGACATTTGCGACGAGAGTCTCTGGCTAAACACACTGCACTGTGGAACGTTCAAAAAAAAACGACGGTAATTAAATAAACACGAAACGTGTTTACTGCTAGCCTTAATGTTTCTCTATAGCCAATTAATATTTTTGCCATTTTAATATATATATATATATATAACTACTCTCTTTCGCCTATCGTTACAGCGCACCAGGGACCAAGTGAGCGCGTGGCGAGACTCCGGCGCCTATGCACGCGCGTTGCAGCGCGAGCATTAGTGCTAATGTAATGCACAGAGGAGGGAATTACAGCTTCAAACAAACGGACGTATCAGCCCCCCCCCCCGTCTTTGTCGTTGTACTTGGACGAACCCTTGGCGGTAACTAATGTATTTGTTCTACGTGTACGGTTGTGCCAGGCAGGGTAAAAAATACACGGGAGCGATGAGCGCTTTGCTCTTCAAACCTCCGAAATCGCTCCCGTGGGGCTCAAAATAGCTCCCGTAAAAATTTCGTCGAGAGCTATTTTTCCCACAGACTTGAAAAAGAGCTCCCGTAAAAAAAAGTTATTTTTTCCCTGGTTGCCAGGATGCGGCCACGGGCACTTGGAACGTTTCGATAATAAAGTGATGGTAAATAAACACGAAATGTTTTTACTACCAGTCTTAATGTTTTTCTACTCTCTTTCACCTACTATTGCTGATAATTTTCTGTAAATGCCGTTCAAATGCTCCTCCGCAACACACAAGTAAACCGCACGCACGCACGCCGCTGTGCACAAACAATAAAGTTTTAGAGAAATGCGTATAGAAATTGTATGAGCAAAACTCGTTTGTGCACAGCGGCGTGCGTGCGGTGTATTTGCGTGTTGCAGAGGAGCATTTGAACGGCATTTGCAGGAAATTATCAGCAATAATAGGTGAAAGAGAGTAGAAAACACATTAAGGCTTTTGTAGTAAAAACATTTTGTGTTTATTTACCATCATTTTATTTGTCTGTGGATTTTATTATCAAGTGACACGGCGGCTATTTGTGAACTTAGTAACGCTGAGAGGGTCTATGTCCCCCAGGGCACTATCGGAGGGTACCCTGGATACGGTTCGATATATCGGAACGTACCGGTACCCTGGTACTATCTAATATGCCGGACCGTACCTCGCCTACTCCACTAACGAGTCTAGGGAGTCACCTACGCCAACTCCCTAACCCTAACCCTAACCACATCAGATAGTTACCAGGGTACGTTCCGATATATCGAACCGTACCCAGGGTACCCTCCGATAGTACCCTGGGTGACATGGACCCTATGAGCCTTAGTAACTACAGAGATTATTACAGAGAACGTACGATGTATGGCTTCTGTGAGGCCGATTGTGGCGCCATCTGCAGTCAGATATCAGTGTCAATCGAGCAAGAAATCATGTTAGTTATATACCCGGGGGGTCACTGAGGATATTACTTGGTACTCACGCTCGGCAGAGAAAACGTGGGAAAAGGGTCGGATTTTGACCCTCAGGTTAACCTTCGACGTTTAGAGTCGTCATTTCAATTATTATTCATTCATTATTAGATCGGTGAAGAGCATTAAAGGACAATCACATGTACTCCACTGTTTCACCATATAATCAGGAGTAGATAATAGGACTTTAGGATAATAGGAGATAGTAGTAATTATCTACTCCTGATATAATTAAGGTACATGTGGTGCCTATATGTGATATGCTACTCTTCTCTGTTGTTCACCAGATGGAGCTGAAGGTGAAATCTTGCTGTGCAGGTCACATTTGGCCATAATGAACCAAAATGAAGAAATGAATCAATATAGCTCCCAGTGTATATCTCTATAATACCTATTGAGTGAGAAAATTCTCATTACACAATTAACATGATTAAGGGGCCAATTTATTTTGCTACGCTATTCAGGGGTCCGTTTTAGTGTTTTACGCCATTTAGGGGTAAGATTTACGTTATATTACGCCAATAAGGGGGTGAAATTTGCTACCGCTGAATACGCCAATAAGGGGTGAAATTTGCTACCGCTGAATACGCCATTTGGGGCCCAATTTTGAGATGCTTTGACGAGCATGGGTAACGCTTTAGTATGCGAGTGTGACCCCCAGGGGTTATATAGAAGTTAGGGTTAGTTAGCCTGCAAACATTCATCCTGAATGACGGCTGTTTTTAATTGTACGTGCAACATATGCCTTGTGATTGGGGGGCAGCCCTATAGACCGAAGGTCCGATAGACCGAAGGTCCGATAGACCGAAGGTCCGATAGACCGAATATTGCAAAGGGTTAGGGTTAGGGTTAGGGTTAGGATTAGGGTTAGGGTTAGGGTTAGGGCATATATATGGTTTATAGTGGCATCATATGATTTATAGTGGCATCGGTGGATGTGCCGCATATTCACGTTCGAATACGGCATCAGTGGATGTCCGGATGCATCGCCTGGAGGCTAGGCGACCGATTCCGGACGTGTAGCCACTGCGTATTCGAATAAACCTTCGGTCTATCGGACCTTCGGTCTATCGGACCTTCGGTCTATCGGACCTTCGGTCTATCGGACCTTCGGTCTATCGGACCTTCGGTCTATCGGACCTTCGGTCTATAGGGCTGTAACCTGTGATTATTATCAGCAACATATATTACACCAATTGTCGATGTCTGTTTTGCGATTTGCCTTGAAACGAAAACGTCGTAATCAAATGTTGTTGTAGAGAATGCATTGTGAGAAAATTGAGGCTAATCTATTGAGGCGACAGTTCAGTCGATTTAAAAAATAAAATTAACCGGATGTTAACAGTATTAGAACAAACTGCCTAAAAATTACTTCCTAGCCGTGGCCTTTATGTTATTCGAAAGCAGCGATCTGTGGCCCCATGTAAGAAACATCATGGATAGTTACGTGCTATCATAATGCTAAAATGTCATAACGTCTGCTAACTCGAGTACTGGGTGCTTGTGGGAACAGGGTTGTTGCTACAAACAACTTTCTAACAAGGGCTATACCATAGTACTAGAGCTAAACTTTTGCATAACACTTCACTTCAAAAGTTGACATTTTAGACTACTATGATATATGTTGTTATACATATTACTATTATATTATGGTTATATATAATTATAATATAATATATATTTGTATATT